ATAAAATTTTAAATTCCGCTGTAAACTCTGTTCCGTACGGTATATCGAACCCAACAGAGCTGGCATCGGTGGAACTGAAGATGACTGAGTAGGAACGGATGGCTGAGGATGATCACGGACGGCCTCCCTCCTGATGCTGGCGTCCACCTCCTAGGCAATGGAAACTGCACGAGCGTACGTCTGTGTCCCATGGCCTACGATGTTATGACGGACTGCTGGGTAAAGCCCGTCAATGAAACGCTGTACTCTCTGGGCCTCCGTGCGAACAAAATCAGGAACGAAAGCTACAAGTCTAGTGAACTCCCTCTCATACTCGTCAACAGTACGAGTACCCTGCTGGAGCGATAGAAACTGACGCTCCATCTCTGCTCGGTAGTAGGTGGGGTAGTACTTCTCGCGGATTTACTCCTTGAGCATCTCCCACGTACATCCCGCCTTCTCGCCGGGACGCATGCTCCAGTAAGCGTTCCACCAGAGCCTGGCATCACCGGTGAGCTGAAGCTGAGCGCAAATTACGCGATATCTATCAGGGCAATCCATGACCTCGAAGATAAACTCCAAGCCCTGAATCCACTCGTCTACGATGCGAGGATCTCCCTGCCCTGAGAATTTCTCGGCATGATAGTCGCGGAACTGGGCGACTACTGTGGCCTGAGTAGGAGTCGGATGATCGGGTTCCCTACGGGGCGGCATCTGAACATTGAGAAAGTTTAAAATTATTGAACACGTGATAAAATTCTGACTGATTACTAAGACACACAAATCTCTTGACGAGTCGCCAAAAATGGTCGATAAATACTGACGTGAACCCTGAGGAATTCTAGAGTCATCTCGAAAGATACCAAATTCTAGAGTCATGCCTGAGTATACTGATCTCTAAAGTCATGTCTGAATATACTGAATTCTAGAGTTATATCTGAACTCTAAAGTCTGCATCTGATTCGAGCATCTTAACTAAGTCTGATTACTGATTTTTGAGCATAGATAAAGTAATATGTTTATAACTGAAAACTGAATCAGCACTTACCTGGAGTCGGCGAGGCGTGAGCGTGACGGTTCAGGTTTTTTTGAAAATTACTGACTGAAAACTTTTCAGAGACGCAGAAACGTGCTCTGATACCAATTGTAACATCCCGACTTTTTAATACTATCAGAGTACGCGTTTTTCGCAATATTTTCTGAATAATAAAATAAAACATTAATTTTTGCGAAAACTGATTCGGGATGCTACCGTGAAAGACTTGATTTTTATGAAAACCGTTAAATTTTTAAACTGATAAATAAAAACGGTTATAATGTCTTATCCGACTAACGTCGGACCAAAAGCTGAAAATAAGTACTGATAGTTTAGCGGAAATAAAAGCGTGGCAAAATACATATATACATATCCACAAAATATCTTGAACTGCCCGCCAGCTCACTCCTCGTCTCCGACCCTGCGACCTGAAAAACATGAAATGCGTGGGGGCGTGAGTACTAAAACACTTGTGCTCCGCAGAAACTCATACTAATGTAGACATTGAAAATAATAACAATATCATG